GTTTTGTTTTTTTGAATGTCCAGAGGACCAGATTTAACATTTTTAGATTTTTCTACCTGGATTATTGAGCATGCATCAGGATAGAAGGTTGAATCAGCTTCTCTGGACGGATTCTTCTTGTTGAAACGTTTCGTCTTTTATCCAAAAGACTTAATCAGTCGGAAGAGCTGCAACAAACTCGGTCTTATAAATAGCACCTTCTCATAGTGGAGCAACCAGTTTGCTGGTGACAGCCAAAACTAGCTGTTCACATGCAGAAGGAGGACCATCAGCCTAAAGACCTATCGTTAGTGCCCTCATGGTCGCTTACTGTTCACTAGGACTGATTGATACTAACAATAACAGCATTGTAAGAGGGTGACAGTTGGACACGGAGGCCTCCGCCCTGTTTAACGATGGACGAGTTCCTTTCACAAAGATGGCCTCCTTTATTCTTAGTGAAAAGAACCAGTCTATCGTTAAACAGGGGCGGGGGCCTCGTCACTCTCTTACAATGCTGTTATTGCTAGTATCATTCAGCCCCCTGTGAATAGTAAGTGGCCAGCAGGGTAATAAAGATCAGTCGTTAGGCTGATGGTTCTCCTTTTGCACGTGTCACCAGCAAACTGGTTGATGCACTATGAGAAGGTGCTATTTACTGTATAAGACTGAGTTTATTGCAGCTCCAAAGACGAAATGTTTCAACAAGAAGAATCCATCCAGAGGACCTGACTTAACCTTGTTAGATTTATCTACCTGGATTATTGAGCATGCATCAGGATAATATAAGTTGATTTTTTTATATTTTTTTTTGTTACAGAAGCGGAAAATAAAAGTGGATTGTTGTCATTTTAAACCCCTCAACATTTCACTGCATTTCATGGGAATGCTATTTTTTTTTTAAACCTTTACATCAGCACTAGTTTTGCATTACATTGTCAGTGCCCACAGGCAGGAAGTGCTATAGCTAGCTGCTGCTGCTTCTGTTTGCTCTTAAAGGATTATGTAACTAATGGTGTAGTTTAAACAATAGTACTTCTCTTGGGATATATTTTTAAGATGACAGCATTCTACTTGATTCTTTGCCTTGTTGAGATGTTAACTCAACAGTTTGATCAGAATTAAACGCTATTTTCTCTAAACCCAGCTTGTTCAAAGAGCTATCTACAACCAGTAAGATATTTATTGTTTAATAGAAATCCAGTATATTTTTAAGCTTTGTTATCTTTATTTTCTGCTTGAATATATTTGCCCTAGCTGGTGGGAGACAGGAAGAAGGCGAGGAAGTATTTTTTTTTTTTTTTTTTTTTTGGCAGAAATCAGTACACAGCCTCCAGGAAAACGAGTTTGTACCATTTCCAAAACACTGTGCAGATACATATTTACAAGCAGAGTGTGCACAGTGTAAACCAGGACAGAATGCATTTGTTTTTAGAGATATAACATTTAACGTTTTGTTGTGGGATGAGTTTAGGTTTGTGGGAAATGACTGAGTGAGTGGCGCTCTGTGTCAGTGGCGTTGGCGATTGGATCGGGTTTCACCTACATGCCAGAACTGTGTATCTGTGGCGTGTAATCTCTCGGAGAATGGCACATATTCGTTCAGCTTCTGAAGAAAAAAAAAAAATGCTGGGATGAGTCAGCCGAGCAGGAGGGCAGGCAGGACGGAAAGAGTCATGTGGAGACTGTGGCTGCTCTACCGAGGCAGTTTCATGTGCTTTGGTTAAAGATTTAAATTATTTAAAAAACACATTTCCTCCTTCCTTAATTTGCTCAACAAGTGTTCCTTCATTGTGTAAAGACTGATTCAACATCCAATTGTTTTCCTGTGTTTTTATTTTTCTGTTTAATTGTACAAATTGTACTTCTTCTGCTTACTTTGGGCTAATTTCACCATTCACCTATCAAAAAGTTCAGCTCATTTAGTGGTTATTAATTATAGTGTTTGCAACTTTTATACTTTTGAAAATATTTAACTTTATTTATAATTTATCAAAATACATTGAGATGTATTTGGTTCCTTCAGAAACATTGTTCTTTTTTAAAATCTGTTTCAGCATACTTGCTCCAATTTTGTTTTCTTTCATTATTTTTTTTCATTTTCATTGACTCTTTATTTATACAGGTAGTCTCATTGAGTCACAAGAACTCATTTTCAAGAGAGACCTGTTTAGGGAGCAGATGGTGGGGGTTAAGGGCCTTGCTCAGGGGGCGGATGAGGGTGGAGGCAGGTGTGGGTGTTTCACCTTTTCCACCCACATTTTTTGATGTTGACGGTACTGGGAGTTGAACCTGCAACTTTCCAATCACAGGCCCATCTTCTCTAACCTCTGCGCCACCACTCCCCCTTACTTTTAACTTTTGCAGCTTTTAGGTTTTAGCTAAATTAATTTTAGCTATAAGCTAGCCTTTTGAAGCTTTTAGCTAACCTTTTGTTACTTTTAGCTTTAAGTTTGCCTTTTTGTACTTTTATGTTTTAGCTAATCTTATAGGCTACTACTTTTAGCTATGAGCTAGCCTTTTGTAGCTTTTAGGTTTTAGCTAACCTTTTACAAATTTTAGCTATGAGCTAGCCTTTTGTAGCTTTTAGCTAACCTTTTGTTACTTTCACCTTTTAGCTTGCCTTTTTGTATTTTTAGGTTTTAGCTAACCAGCTGTAAAACAGCTGATATTAGCTGAAAGTAGCTGAAAAAAAAAGTTTAAATTTGCACAAGGAAGCTAAAAGAAGCTGAACCAGAACAAAAAGTGAAAGGAGCAGTAAAAGGTTGTAAACAGATCTAAAGATGTGAAGGATGTAAAATGAGCTCAGTTCATTTTCTATGAGACAAAAGTGGCAGAAAAGGCTAAATATTTCAAAAAGCTAAAGTTGCACCAATACCAAAAGTCACGGCACCCTTCTCCTGAACAAGCTGGATGTTTTGATTTATGATTTGTTGAAATGGCACAAAAATAGTGGGACGAGAAAGATGCTGAAAAACGTACAGAAGACAAATGGATCGCAATAGTGTGAATGCTTCATAAACATTCACTCAATAGTGATTTATCGTGTCTCAGCTTGACCCCTCATACGTTCAATCCGGATACAGATACACAATTAAGTTTCCCCTACAATTACACCATTAAACAATAAAAGCATGTAAAGGGTTAAAGATTTAACCAAATTTGTACAGACACAAATCAGCAAGTCACCACTGCCTTGTGTCTCTTTAGCCTCTGGATACTAATGTTCCCCACTAAATCTGTTCAGCCGCTCTGATTGGCTAGCTAGGCTGCTTTCACTCCAGATGTTCACGGATTGGATTATGGAATTATCACTTCTGTTGCCGATCCAGAGCGTTGCATTTCTGCACAGTATCTCCTCTCGCAGCGTGTGGATGCTGTTGTAGTGATACCGCTTCATCATCGTGAGGATAATGACAGAAAATAATAGATCGTGTGAAGCTTGCGGCTCAATTTTTCAGTTAGCCGACGTAACTTAATGTCAATGCTTGAAGGAAATCGATGGCTTCTGGGTGTGTGTGTGTGCACGCATGTGTTTACTTGTGTGTGTGGTCAGTCGGGTAAATGGTGGCAGATTGGAGAAGGCACAGACTGTAATTAAAACAATTTCCTAAGCTGGAGCGGTTGCCAAGCAGAGTGACCTTTGCTCACACAGTTAAAGGAGACAGGCCACAGTGTGTGTTTGTCATATCTTTATTTTCAACCAGATCTTTTTTTAAAATGCATCTGAACTTGTCTATTTCATAAGTATTCATATTGTACATCAAGAGTGTGTGCATGTGTCAGAAATCATCTAAACAGCGGGCTGTGATAAGCGTTTTGTTCATTTGCAAATTCATTAATACAGACCACATGCCTGGTTGG